ATTAGACTAATCAGGTTCTTTAGATATATAGAGATTATACTCAGTATAGATAGATAATCTTCAACTTCTTCAAAGAGCTGTAGAAAATGGCCTTTAATCTAACTCAGAGTTTTGTGGTAGTGAGACACAATTGCTCCTGGCAACACCACTCTATTCCCGAGAGAATGTTGAGCACCAAAGACACTCCACTTGGAGCCTTTCTTTTTGGCAGAACTGGCCTTTGGGCAAAGAAATGCCCATACCTCAATGACTGACAAAGATACAGAGCATGCATCAATGGATAAAACAGGACTGTCATATCCTGCCAAGACAGGGTAAGATAGTTTTGAAAACTTGCTTGCCTTAGAAAATGGTATGTTAGGCCTTAGCCAAAGTTGGTTGCTTCAACACTGCTAATGTGACTTTGGGTGATTGCCCAGGTAGCTAGTTGTCTCTGTGATTTGTTGCATGTTTTGGAAGTTGTTTTACTGAACTTCCTAATTACCCAGGTAACATTATTTCCCTTCTCAGATCTTCGATGTGGTTGAAGACTATATAAATGTAGTTACTTTCTCTCATGACTTGGCCAAGTTATTTATTATACAAGACCTAAGCTAGTTTGAATAGGATATTTGTACTTATTGTATATAATTTCATAATAGGTTTAGAACTCTCTTATTTAAACAAAAGGGGGAGGTGTTGCGGGAGGTCTTCCCACTCCTCCAGCCTATAGCTGCTGAGATACCAGCCCATTGGGGCATGGTCTCTCTCCCTTTAAAAAAGTGGCCACTTCCCTCTCCTCTCTCTCTTCACTTCCTGCTCCGCTGGCGACTAGACTCCCTTCCTGGTTGCATAGCGGGCTGTTGCCTGGGACAGTGATCTGTAAGTTTTTTCCCCTTTAAATAAATACCACCCTATTAATCATAATTCCAAACTGGTGTGGCATTGTTTGTGACTTACGCCTTCACATCTGGAGTGCACCAAACTGTGGATGGATGTGGAATGTTGGTTACATTCATTTATGTTGCATTTGTTTAACTCTGTGAAGCTGTGTTACTTTGCCTGCCTAAAATACCTGATTGGTCTAATAAAGAGCTGAATGGCAAATAGCTAGGCAGGAGAGGGATAGGTGGGACTACTAGGCAGAGAGAATAAAAGGAGAAATCTGGGGACGGGAGCAAGGAGTGAGAAAAGGAGGAGAATAGGACACCAGGAGCCGGTCACCCAGCCACACAGCCAGTCACAGAGTAAGAAGGAAAGAAAGATATATATATGATAAATGAAGGTTAAAAATCCCAGGGGCAAAACATAGTTAAAGAGAAACAAGATAATTTAAGTTAGAAAAGATGGCTAGAAACAAGCCAAGCTAAGACTGGGCATTCATAAGTAAGAATAAGTTTCCATGTGTTACCAACTCCAGATGGAAGATCTGTAGATCCCACGTTGGAGTAACAGTAATTCTCAAGGACGGCCTTCTGGGTGTGGGGTGTGTCTCCCTATGTTTGTGTGGGTTCAGATTCATTTCCTAGAGAGAACCACAGGGTTTAGGGTTTGAAGAATCAGAATTCTCTAGCTTTGTAGTCTGTATCATGTTGGGAAGTGCAGTCTTGAAGTGCTGTGTCTTTAGGATCCTCTCCCTGATCTCTGGGCTGCCAGAAGGGAGTCCCAAATGTGATCACTTTTGACTATTGCTTGTGTCTCTGGTCCTTGCTTGCCAGCGACTACCCTAGCCTGCTCAGAGGTTAGATATGGGAGGACAGGCATCTCGTCCCATCTAGACCTTGGGTACAGACAGGATGGTCCCAGGCTGTTCCATCACTGTATTCCCCACTGCCCTTTGGCCACTCTTTCTGGAAGCCAATCAGGAGGCTGCCCTGAGCAGCATGGCAGACTGTTAAAGGAGATGGCAGTGCCCCTTGGGCTCCCTGTTGCCCATCACAGAAAGCAGCATTGAGGGCTGTTCCCCTTAGGATGCTGCAGCTTTCCCTTTCAAGACCACTGCACATAGTGTGGGTACCATGGCAAGGACCACCAGGCCAGTAGCCAGCACATCCCAGAGAGTAAACCCCAGAATCAGCAGCTTTCTGGTTACAAACAAGCCGAGACATTTGGAGGAAGATTGGAGAAATGTGAATATATGGGTGTAAATGTAACAATGTCACTAAATGTAACAAAATGCCACTAAATGTACTGTTCCTCAAGGTGTTTAGATTTGTGGATAACTGGGAAATCTGCTGCTTATCCTCAGAAGGTTCACCCAGATCATCAGTAAGGAAACAGCAACCTGTGAGTGATGTTGGTGGAGGGGGTGGGCGCATGGGTGTTTTTCCGGCTGTGTGTATATTGTGTTGAAAAAGATTAAATAACACCAAAACTTTGGGGGTAAAGTCTCCTGAAGATACTGTTTAAAGTTCTAGTCCCTTCCATTCCCTGTGGGTCAGGAGAGCCAGGTAATGCCAGCATGGATATTTATTTAAACAGCTCCCAGGTATTCCCAACACGGAAGCATCAGATGTCATGGGAGATGATGAATGACAGCAGGAAGTCATGTATAGCAGTACCAGGAGCCTAGCACCAAAGTCAGTCTCTTGAGTGCCAACTCCTGTTACCCTCACCCCAGCTAGGGGTGGAACAGGCCCCCAGACCTTTGTAAGACCCCAGACTTTAGCACAACTGACTCCATGATCAAAGTACCATTCAGACCATAAAAGTCAGCACAGCACCACCGGCTAAAAAGAAAACAAAGAGCAAATCCATCAAAGTCCATAGTTCTGGGAAAGTTAGAATGTGCTAACCTTGCCTTCAGCTTCTGGAGTTCTGCTTCTGGCTAACTGTTCTTGTTAACTGAGGTATCTCAGCCCAGGATATGGGTTTTGTGCTTAAAAGCTCACCCTGAGAAAGTCTTCATGCTACACTGGGGTTCTGAGCACCCAGTGAAGTTGCTAGCTGGCTAATAAAGACTTCTTATTGGCTTAAACCTTGTCTGAGCGCTATTCTCTGGTGGGTACCCCACAACAGGGCAGCACCCTCTGTTCAGCGGGGTGAATGTCCACACCCTGTCCCTTCCTTCATGCTCCAGGAACAAATAACTGTCCATACCATGACATCTTTGCTTGGATTGTTCCTATGCTTCAACTGCCCTCCCTTTCTTCCTTCCAATCTCCATTCCCCCATCAGCACAGCTAATGCATACCATCTTCACATATGCTCTTCCAGGAAGCCTTCCCAAGACAGGGTCAGTGAGCCCGTTCACATGCATGGTTTGCGACTCACTGTGTAGCTTCCAAGCATTTCCGGAAGGGATTACTGTGCTACCAACCAAGGCGATTCTCAGTGTTCTCACAAATTTCCCTAGTGTTCCTCATCTACTGTTTACGGTTGTACTGTCTTGTAGAGGATTCTTTTTGCCTCCAGTCTAGCAATTCGCAACATCAGAGATGGATCCCTGCAATCTGGTTTCCTAATCAACAACAATGAACCTCCCCGCCAATCTGCAATGGGAATGGGATGAGCGTGGGCTGTTCTTGGTTGTCCACTTGACCATATGTGGAATTAACTGAAACCCAAGTGGCTGGGCACACCTGTGAGGGTGTTTCTTAATCAAATCATTCAAACTGTGAAGACTCACTTTTAATCCTGATCTTTTGAGATGGGAAATCTACCTTTAATCTGGGCCACACCTTCTGCTAGCAGCCTATATGAAGGACACAGAAGAGGCTTGCTCTCCTTGCCTGCTTGTGCTTTCTTCTGCAGACAAGTCCATTCCTGCACTGACATTAGAGCCTACTTCTTTGGCGGTCTGGAATATACTACAGACCAGCTAAGACATCCAGCCCTAGTGGATTGAACAACTCCTAGATTCCTGGACTTTCCTTTGGTAGACAGCCATTGTTGGACTAACTGAACCAAGCCTGTCACCCACCCATCCTAATAAATCACTCCTCCTTTCTCCCTCCACATATTCATTCCATAAATTCTGTTCCTCTAGAGAACCCTAATACAATGCAGAACAAATACCATTTCCAGCCACCGTGATTTAGGGCTTGTTACAGCAGTACAGCCTAGCTCCCCCTGACTGATGATGTCATCTCTAGTCTCATAATCTCAAATACGAATTCATAACACAACAAAGTATGTAAGCAGCAATTCATAGAATTCTCTTGGTTAGTGATGTGGTTATTCACACCGTAACCATGCCCCTATCTTTACTCTTGGTGATGCAAGTCTCTTTCTGGAGATGCTCTAAAGCTCCCCTCTGCAAGGAGGTCCAGATGTCAACTCTTGTGATCTCTTAATAGCTCTTGCTGGTGTCGAGGAAAGCCTGGAATCCCACTTTCCTCAACCTGTAGAGATGGTCCCTGGAAAAACATGGTCTCTTTAGCCTCCTGTCTCGGGGCTGGGTTGGCCCCAAGTATACCTCTTCTTCATCAGGATCAACAAATGCACACCGAAGTATAAATAAGGAAAGCACTGCTCTTGAAGTTTGCCTGGATGGGATGGAATACAGGTGGGGAGAGGGTGCCAGTGCTCTTGGACTTTGCCCGTTCTTGGAGGGTGGACGCTGAGAGAGAGGTCAGAGACACAGCTGTCTTATTCACTAGAACCCAGTGCCCCTTCAGGTCTTCCAGTTCTTGGCATATGTCTCAAAGCCTTTGGATGCTTGAGACAATGGATTTCCAGTTTCCTTCACCTGATGGGTCCCAGCTGAAAGCAGTGTGGATCTGTTGACATGATCGCACCTGGGCAGAGAATGGAGCTGGCAGCTCCAGGCCTCTTCTTGCTACCAAGTTTCCAGGGTTTGCTGTTCCTCTGAGCAGTTTGCACAGCTCCAGCCCCAGGGTTGTTCTCTGGAGTGCTTTGTTCTCCCAAGGCTGCGCAGAGCTGCAGTTACCTAATTTCTGCATGTCCAGAGCCCACCGTTGTGATAGGTTTGCAGTTCACACAGCTCCTTCGGATCTACTGTTTCCTCAGTTCAGACAAATTGGCCAGTCATGGAGAAGCTGAGTCCTAGAGACGTCAAGAATGTGTCCTGGTCTACACCGCAAAGTTGGTGCCAGAGCAGGCTGGAGCCTGGACCTCCAGACGGTACGGCTAGTTTCCCATCTGCTTTACTATATGGTTCTAAGTAAGAAAAAACAAGGGCAGTTTCATGCTAAGGCTCAGGTGGACATATGTGTATATGTATGTATAGATACACACATCCAGATTGTTGGCTCCAAACCTCTGGGAGCAGGGTCCTGTGTCCCCTTGGAAGTCGCTAGCCCATAGCTGCCAAGAAGCCTGGGGAATAGAAGGAGCTGCACAGGTCTAGCTTCACTTCTCTCGGTGCACGACTGGATGATGGTGGCCCAGAAGCTCCTCACAGTAGACACGTGGCAGCTGCTGGCCTGGGGGACTCATCTGGTTCAGGTTCTCATAATTGGACTCCTGAGCCTGAGACCTGCAGACAGGAGGACACTGACTTACCACCCAGTGTTTGGGGAGGTCCTTGACTTCCCAAGCCAGCCTGGCCTCCTCTGTTCTGAGAATGCTGTGAGGGATGGAGGTGTAGGGTGCTTTGGGTATGACATAGGTTCTGATACAGGCTACTGCCCTAACCTTGTCCCCGACCTATTCTTTCTCCCCCTACTACCAGTTCTGAGAAACTAGCATCCCTGGGCCAATGAGACCAGGCAGGGGTGGGGCAGGAAGGACAGCAATAGCACTTACCGTGGAGGGGTATCCTGAGTGATCAGGTGATCTGTGTGAGGGATACAGAGAAAGAGCAGGTGTGACTTTACACTGTAGACTCCAACTTACATACATGTCAGCCGCATGCTCTACTGCGTGATGTGGTCCCCACCCCACTGCAAGCAGGGGTCCCCAGGAGTATGCAACAGGCTGCAGATGGACAGCTAGCCAAAGCGGCTGTGAAGCCTGACTCCCATAGACGAATAGGAGTTAACTGGTGGGCTAAGGGGGATGTGGTCCACAGAGCAAAGGCGCCTTTCTGAGGCAGGACCCTGAAACACAACATGTTAGTTAAGTCCGAGAGACCAGCAAGAATGGCAGGGTCACAGTAAGGTGAGCAGCGGGGGTAATTTCATCCCTGAAGAGTTTGAGGCTGATGTTCCTGGTCTAGAGAAACTGAAGAGCTCTGAGAAAGTGCCTCCCTCTCTGGGATGCTCATCAAGCAGACACCCCATCAAGGGTTGGGACGCCGTGTGGAGAGCCTTTCTCAAAGTGCCGAGTTCCCCAGCCAGGTGTGCCATTCACGTTCCTTACATTTTTCAGATTAGTTCTCGCCTCTCTCTTTTTTTTAAGGCCTCAGAATAGCAAGATGTTCTCTGCCTTCTACAGTTTCTAGGGTCTGTGGGAACCCTTCTTAGGGGGCTACCGCAAAGCTCTGCAGACTCAGCCTCTTATGGGTTGGCAGGGAATCACATCCTGGCATCTTCGTGTGGCCAGCATCATGATGCATAACCTCAGGGCCGCAAGATGCTTGTTACAATGTAAGGGGAAGCCTGACCTTTATGGGACACTGAGTTGTAGTGTGGTGGTTAAAAACAAAAATCAAAAATCAGCAGCAGCAATAGCAACAACAACAACAAAAAACTGCTTTACACCTGACAGGACTGGGTGGGTCACCATCTGTGTGACTTTGCAAAAAGCAAGCTACTTTGCAGAGTCTCGCCTTCCACGCTGCAAAGAGCCTCAAGCAGGTCCCGCCTCCTGGGCTCCAGGCTGAGAAGGAACTGAGCTGATCCAGGTGGAGAAAGGATGCTCTGATGGGCCACGCAGGATGGTCCGCCAGAAAGGGGAGGGAGCCCCTGTCCTCCCCTTCGTCCCCACCCAGATCTGGGGTGTACCCACCTAGTCGTTGGCGGGTGGCTCGCGCACCCAGAACACCAAGCAGCAGCAGCGCCTTGAGACCCAGCGCGCCGAGTAGGAGTGCCAGAGTGGAGGCTCCGGGGGCGCCACGGAAGCGGAACAGGTAGACGCTGGCCTCTGCGCGGCCCAGGCTATTGGCTGCCGTGCACGTGTAGCGCCCATCTCGGGTCAGCGCCGGCAGCTCGGCGGTCACCTGGTAGCCGTGACCCTGGCTCTGCTCGGCCGCCGAGCTGTTGCCCAGGGCGGGGCCCGACCAGGAGAGGGCAGGCGGAGGCTCCCCCTCGGCCGTGCAGAGTGCGCGGAAGGCGTGCGCGGGGCCTGGCAGCACCGAGATGTTGACGATCCGCGGTGCAGCTGCGGGGGAAGAAGGCGGGCACGGGTCACCCGGCAGAGGACAGCGCCCCGGGAGCGTGAGAGAGGCAAGGGGTGCGACTTCCAAGATGGAAGCACCGGTGAGGTAGTGGGGGTGCCCAGAGAGAAGAGAGGGACACCTGGGCGCCAGGCTATCTGGGTCCTATTGCAGTAGTGGCCTTAGCAAGCTATTTTTCTTCTTTGCCTCAGTTTCTCCATATGTAAATTGGTGATCACAATTGCCTTTGTTTTACGTGGTCACTGAGATTTGGCAAACTAATACTTGTATATTACTTGGACTGCTGGGCTTTCAGCTGGTGGTCGCCAAAGGGTCACAACCGCAGGGAGGGGCCAATTGTACGTAGTGCTCTAGGGGCAAGGGATGTGCAAAGGTTGGGGTGAGAAATTTTTCAGTGCAGGGAGTGTACCTCCTCCTGCACCCCTTGCCAGGTTAGGATTATTGGTTATTTTTCTCTCCTTCCTTGCCAGTTACCGGTGTTTACGAGCATCGGGACACCACCTACCCGCCCTAGTCCAGCCTTTCCTGGGATCTGAATTCTGAATTTCTACCAAGTTCGCAGAGGCCTCCCTGGCACCCAGTAGGCTCTCGGGACAGGGATGCGGGGAAGTTGGGTACCACCTCCTCCGCCGCCAGCCCGCCTCACCGGTCACGCGCAGCCGGACCCCGTGGCGGCTCTCATAGCGGTCGTGGGCGTCGCCGGCGAACTCCACGCGGCAGAAGTAGCGGCCACTGTCCGCCAGGGCGAGGCGCTCGACGCGCAGTGACAGGTCGTTGTGGCGCGGGTTGCCCAGCAGGCGGAAGCGGCCCTGCAGGCTCAGAGCCGTCTGGCACAGCTCGCTGCCTCGTGCCGCGGTGCATCGGAACACCTGCGGGCCCGCGTACGGCTCGCCCGCGCGCCAGATGGCGGTCAGCGGCCCGTCGTAGTGGCGGTGTGGGTGCGTGAAGGTGCAGGGCAGCATCGCCGCGTGGCCCGCCTCCGCGCTCACCTCGGAGGGCACCTGCATGGACCAGCGCTGCTCCGGCACGCCTGCCGGCCAGGGACACATCAGACCTAGCCTGAGGAGACCGGGTTCCTGGCCTCTGGCGGCATCTTCCCCGCCCCCACCCCACTTCCTCTCTCGAAAGGGGCTGCAAACACTAGGACTCAGGCAGCAATAGGTTCCTTTCGGCTGGAACCCCACTTCCTGGCTTTAGAGCTATCTCCCTACTCTACCATGACTAAGGGAAGAGGGATGGGATGGATTTTTCTCCAGACCCTTCCTTAGGCTTGCCTCTTTCTTGGCGTGTGACCTAGTGACAGACACAACTCTTTCACATTTCTCTCTATCAGAAACCTGTGCATTTCCCGAAACACTTATGATATCCCGTGGTGACAGGATCCTTAAGATGATAAAAATCACTTACTGTGTGCCTCTGTGTTGAGCAAATCCGCTGGAGCATCTCCAGTTTTCACAACTGATCCTAGAGATGAGCATAGATGTTACATGTTAAATAACTGGCCAAGTTGAGGCTAAATCACTGCTCAAGCCAGACCAGCCTGCATTACAGTGCCCTAATGGCGTGAAGCTGTGGGATGCATCTGAAGGCATTAACGGTCTCATTTGCAGGGGAGAAACCAAGGCCCTGGAGGGGAGGTGTTTTGAAGCACACTGTTGAGTTGGTAGGAACTCAACCTTTATTGTCAGGGTCAGCCCAAGAGGACTATGTCCCAGGTTGGCTCCCTACATGCTAGTGTCCAGGCAGGGAAAGACAGGTCAGAGTGGTAGGGGCTGTATTGCCTCCTTGCTCTCTGCACGGGGTCACCTCTAGATTCACTTGCCCTGTCTTCTACCCAGTGACTATTCTTTACAACGTGGAGTTAAAGGCTGGAAGCTGAGCCCTGTCTCCAGTTCACCCAGCGCTGGCAAGCCACCGGCCCCGTGTTGCTGTGGCTTTGAGGATGCAGGTGCTCAGCCTCAGAGGCTTATCCCAGGGGTGGTACCTCCCTAAGAAGAGGCAGGTGGCCGAACCTGCCTAGCCAGTGCCCTGGGGCACAGTGCACAAAAGGGACCTTTACAAGGAATAATTAGAATTGTATTATACACGGTTCCTTTATATACACCATGCCATCTGCCTGAAAACATCCAAGAGACAGAGAACGATTGTTAGAGATGAGGAAATGAAGGCCTACGTCCGGCAAGTAAGAAAAAGCCAGTCCATCATTCATTGTCGTCGTGCCCTGTGTCCCACCATGCTAAGCCCACTGCTCTTTGTGGTCAGTCAGCCTCATTGACCTCTTGGGTAGGAATATCTCAGGCCACATGGGGCCCATGCACCTGGGAATGAACGCGCCCCTGCACAGAAGCAGTCCAGATCTGCCATTGCTGCAGGAGCGCGGACAAGCATGGACGAGCCCGAGTTGGCCCTAGCGGGAGCTCACTATGACTACTCTAGGACTCATTACCTTCTCTTGATGGGAAAGACTGGATCATTCCCCTGCCCCTCCCCCCTTTTCCTTTCTGCTCAAACCCTGCTCCAGGGGACCCTAGTGTGTGTGTCTTCTACAGAGAGCTCTTGGTTCTTGTGCACCTTGAGCTGGGATGCTCCACCTCCAGTTGAGTTCTGCTGTGGGCGCACCCCCAGAAGACCATCAAGTTAAAGCACAGAGTTTTTTTTTTTTTCTTAAATGCCACTTTTGTTGTTGTTGTTTTTGGCTTAATCTCTTGCTCTGGACAAGTTGAATTACATGTTTGAATTCAAGTGGAGGGCTTGACATTTATCCTGAGTAAGAACTTGTTTGTTCGGTTGGTAGTGATCAAAGGGCTGCTTTTCAAATCTGAGAAAATGGAAGATTGTGCCGATCCAGTCAGCACTTCTAGCAGAAGAGTCTCAAGAGTTTCCTCAGGCCTGTCTCTCTGACAACGTAGTTCAAGCTGGCCTGGAAGTTACTGTATATTCCAATCTGACTCCAATTTAGTCAGTTCCTTGCTGCAGCCTCTTGAGTGCTGGACTACAGGCATGTACTACTCTTCCAGCATGTACTACTTACTATTCCAGCATGTACTACTATTCCAGCATGTACTACTATTCCAGCATGTACTACTATTCCAGCATGTACTACTATTCCAGCATGCACTACTATTCCAGCATGTACTACTATTCCAGCATGTACTACTATTCCAGCATGTACTACTATTCCAGCATGTACTACTATTCCAGCATGTACTACTATTCCAGCATGTACTACTATTCCAGCATGTACTACTATTCCAGCATGCACTACTATTCCAGCATGCACTACTATTCCAGCATGCACTACTATTCCAGCATGCACTACTATTCCAGCATGCACTACTATTCCAGCATGTACTACTATTCCAGCATGTACTACTATTCCAGCATGTACTACTATTCCAGCATGCACTACTATTCCAGCATGCACTACTATTCCAGCATGTACTACTATGCTCTTCTGGTTTTTTTGTTGTTAAGATGGGGGTCCCACTATGTAGTCCAAACAGGTCTTGGACTTGCAGTCCTCCTGCCTTATCTTCCTAGAAGCTGGGATTATGGGTGTGCACCCTCAGCTCCTACCTCAGCTTCCCTGTGCTGCCTACCCTCTGTGATCTTTTTTCGATCTTTGCATCTTGTGGGCCCTGGGGTCAGGCGGTGATTGTCTGCACATTGTTGCTATTGTGCATTCATGGACCCAGCAAACGTTTATTGGATACTTCCGCACTCCATGCCAGGTGCTGGGCTGTAAGCCGCAGAGCCAGAGATGGACAGGATACCCTGTCAGCCTGCTGGAGCTAGATGGAGAAAGATCAGTGAACATGTAATTACGGGGCACTCTGCCAGGTGCTCTTCTGACGGACACAATGTTGCCTTTGTCTGGACATGGTTCCCAGCCCACTTTCACTCACTGGCGCCCTCCCATTCAACCCCTGTTCTCTGTGGAGTTAGCCCTGCCAGAATATTCTTCTCTGAGCCCCCAAGTCTGGCTCTGGCATCTCTCCCCTGTACCCTGGAATGAAAGGGGGTCAGGCTGTCAGGAGGATGGGACTGGTGTAGAGAGTATACAGGGATTATGTATAGCAGACATGGATGGTGGAGCTCATCAGAGAGGAGGTGCCTGTGTGCAGAGACCAGGGAATGTAGGTAATTCCACAAGACCTGGGGCAACAGGGAACCAAAGCCATAAGGTGTGACACCTGGAAGACATGGTGGTGTGGGCCTGCACCTCAAGCATGCAGGAAGAGGAGTACTGGGAATCCAGGCCACTTTTAGCTACATGGGGAGTCTCAGAAAGGTGGAAAAAGAAAACATGAGTCGTGGACATCACAGGGGCAGAGAAAACATGAGGGGACAGGGAGGCCAAAGTACTGAAGAATGGGGTTACTGGGAGTCATCCCTCATCTCATTTAAAACACACAACAACCCATTGAGACGCCACCATTAGCCCAATAGAGAGAAGAGGAACTGGGGCTTGTAGAGCCCAAAGTGACTTGGCTAGCTCAGTTGGTGACCAACTAGTAGCAGAGACTTGGCTTGCCCTGGCTGTTTTTTTCCTCCCTTATTTATATTCCTATCTTAACCTCCATGCTCAGTTGCTTAAGAACAGTTGTAAAATAGTCTCTCTTGTTCCCTGTGGAAAAATCTTCGGTTTATTTGATCAAGCAAAAATAAAATAAGCTGCATAGGAACAATTTTAAAGTCCAGAGAGAACCAGGTTCTTAAAAGGCTGCAGTAGTATTTTAATGCAGTATTTTAAATGCAGTAAAATACAGCATCCCCTTGCTACTTCCCCAGCCTTCTACGCGGACTGCACGACACATTCAGATGCCTTTTTAGCTCACACAGGAGGTCTGCAATGCCTCTCCACAGTCTCTTCTCCTGCTCATTGCCCGTCATGCCTGCGACGATAGCAACATTTACGGTTTTTAAAGGTAAAAGTCCCCACAGGGGGAGGGGGCTTGCAATTGCCTTGAAGTTTGGGGGAAATTCCCCTAGCTACCCACTGCTATGATGAACTCTGAGATACCACAGCAATGCCAAAAGTGGGCAGAGGCGGCTAGAATCCCAGGTAGGCTTGTAGTGAGGGCTCTGTTGGCTGGGCAGGCACGCTGGTGGTGTGTTACTTCAGGCAGCTTTGCCATGAGAAAGTGGTAACAGAAGCTTAACTTGGTTGCTCTGAGGTCAGGCAACACGCCCCTGTGAATTCCACCTGGATCTGTATTCTCTGCTGTGGAGTGTTTTAAAATGGGACCTGAATGGCAGAGCTAGCTGGTGTTTGCTCTAGCATAAAGACCCTTCCGTTAGAAGCTCCATCTTGGCTCCCATTAGCAGATATGGACTTCTTGCTGAGTGGGTTCAAAGGAGTGATGTTTGGACTCTCAGCGTCCTTTAGATGGGCCCTCCCAGAGGACTCAAGGTGAAGGTGAACAGTCCTTAGCAGGTATTGTCCAGAGAACAAAGACATTTGCTTTGGCAGAGATCCTAGCTCCTGGCAACCTGTGACATTTGCCATTCTGCTAGCATCTCTTGACTGCTGGCTAAGAAGTGACCAGGATGATCCCTGACTGGGATCACTGAGCTTTCTGTGGAGTCTCTCCGTCTGCCTTGTGTCTGGCAACTTCCAGGGCCAATGGGAAGCCCACATTCTTCTTGTTGCTCAAAGCATCAGCCTCCAGCGGTGTCCACCAGGGATGGTGGAAGCATGTCAGCTTTGGCATAGCTGAACCTAGCTGACCATCCCCCCTCTGGTAAGGAAAATATACACTGAAAAGCTAGGAAGTGGCTTCTGTCTGTAAGGTCATTTAAGGTAGCGAGGAATGGCAGCTGACGTTTACCAAGCCTGGACGGAGTCCATGGACACAGTGAAATCACGGAGCAGAAATGATGTAGTAAAAGCACTGTTTACAATAGGAAAGCTATAGTCATGACTCACCAGGACCTTGTATCAGGCTGGGTGACAGGTGCTCCGTTAAAAGGCGCCCTGGGACTGAAGGGGCCAACCTATAGTGCCATTCGGGGAGGAGTAAACCCAGAGGGTTCTGACTCATCATGA